CAGTGCATGCTTTGCTGTCCGTTGACACTGTTCCGTCATGAAAGGCACCTGATTGCCACGAACCATTGTTTGGTTAATTGATGCGTGTTCATTAAAACACCTAAAAAAATGTTCAGAACCATATACCTCATGATTAAGTTAATCAAAATCAAATGACGCGAAAAGGCAAAATTTGCATATCACGCACAAAGTTCTCCCAGCTAAAATTTTTCAGACCACGGAAAGAAATCGTGCAAGATCAAAAAGTTTCTTCACTTTCCTCTTGAAAACGCTCCAATACGTTTTTGTAGTTTCGAATCTGTAACCTATATCTTTTAAGGATATTAAATGTATTTTATTTATGAGGAAGTATGTTTTGATCTTTGTTTACTATGTCATTCTTGAACTCGAAAATTTATTTTCATGCAGTAGGAATAATGGAAATGTTGGCGTTTGAATTATGGAATAACGGAAATTGTCGAGTTGGAATAATGAGATAATGCCCTTTTTGTGGGCAGAATAACGGATGGAATAGGGCAACTTTTCGAGATGCAATTACGGAATAATAGAACCTCATTATGCCTTTTCATTCCCCGAATTCTCTAGTTTATATTCTCGCCACTTCTAGCTCATGCCCGGCTTCTTACCTGTTGTCCGTAGCACAGCTTCAAGCAGCAAATTTACAAAGAGGAAATGAGTCGTTTTGTCACTAGCCATTGTCTTTAAATCAAGGATATCTGTTTCAAAATTCTTTAGTGTGTCATGGTCTGCAGAAGTTGATTTTTTCCTGTTTGATCTGCAGTTTCGCTTTCACTTTCACCACATTTGAATATTTTTATAGACTAGATGACGATCGAGTCGAGGGGAGGTTGGGAAAGAGCATTAAGTTTATGTCATTTCTTTGAGTGTGTACCCAAATTCTTTCCTTCTTATCTGTTTTTCTTTTAGCAGATGTAATCAAACTAAATTTGCCTTTTGTACTATGCATCAAATGAAAAGTCATAGAAATAATATATATAATTAAGGGGTTTACCTAAAATCCGGAATCCGCGGGAAAAAAAAAACATACCGAACGCCGAATGATTCTGAGGGCCCGGTTTCTGAAAGGCCGATTAGCCCTAATCCAGGATTAAAATTTTGTTCCGTTTTTTTATTTTTCCTTCCTATGTATTGCTTAGAGTAAGTTTTGGTGTTATTATTATTATCTCAGAGTGAAAGGCTCAACAGTATTTTGTAAGCTTGAATTGCATGTTCTTAAACAAGAAAATCTTGTTTTATAGAGAGGAGAAGTCCTTAGGTCACGTTGCCATGGTAGCAAAATTTTTGGATGACAACAAACTGATAAAGTCACTTACAAGTCTATTCGCACTATTTCAAACTTCACCGTTCTTATTCAGTTCCATTTAATTTGGTAAATCTTGGCGAAATTTTTTTTGGAAACAATATCGATTGTTATCTAAGTTTAGAAAAAGAAAGCGACAATTTTTGTGTTGTGTTCACCTACTCTATAAAGCGGGCTCTTGAAATTAGGAAGTTTCATGCCGTAGTGGTGCAACAACGGTAAACAAAAGTACAAAATAGCCTGATGCACGTGCAAACTTGTTGTTTTTTAATATAAACATTATATTTTTTGCCGTTCTCCTTGCCGTCGCCGTCGTCGTTGGTTTTTTGTCATCCAGAAATAGTGCTACCATGGTAACGTGACGTCACATCTCTCCTCCCTATTAAGATTTGGCTTAATCCTGGGTTAAACTTAACCATCTTTCGAGGAACCGGGCCCAAGTTTTCTGATTAGGGTTAGAAAACTGAGTGTCAGTTTTTCTAGTATAATTACCCTAAATGAAACCTGTTTCACTCAGTTTCCTAACCCTAATCACTACATTTACATTTACATTTACATATATCATCTTGCAATATCTATAACAGACATATTCGCAAGCTCCCAACTAATAACTAAAGTGCCACTTCTAGGAAATGTAAAAATAAAAATACAATAAATCGAAAGGGGTAAACATCACACTGAAAAAAATAATGTAGTCAGAGTCGGAGTGGGCTTTTTCCGTATCCCGGGTCTGAGACAAGCCCTGTTTAAGCAGAAGTGGAAAGGCAAGAAAATTGATTTACTTCAGGCTAAAGCACAGAGTTAAATTTTCTGCGGTTGGAGAGAGATAGGGGGAGTAGTAACCCAAGAAAGAATCATTTGACTAGACCACAGCCTTATTTAAATATTTAAAAAGGACAGTGAGACTGACCTACCTCTATTGGTTTAGCTGCCCGCAGGTCAGTTGGATTGATTGTAAACAGTTTGTTATATATACTAAATAACCTTGACACTTGAAACTTTAAAGGACTCGTAATGGTGACAGTTAATGGGGAACATAGCAGACAAAGTATCGAATAGTATGAAATTGCGTTTTAAGGGTTAGTCTGCGAAATATCCGTTTCTCCTCGTTCTTCACCGCTGAATGGATGTTTTCGCAGGCTATTTAGGATTAGGATCCCACATCGTACCATGTGGCACATTTATTTGCGGTTCTCTTCGCTTCAAAAAAAAAAAAAATTCAAAAAATCAAAAGTATTATAGTCAAACCCCCCTTTACTGACACCCGATTAACACGGACACCTCATTATTACGGACAGTTCGCTTTGCCCCTGGGAAAAAAAAACCCTTACATTTTATCTAATTTCAACCCGGACACCCCGTCAATAAGGACACTCTCCCCTCAGTGTCCGTATCAACGGGGTTTGACTGTACATACATACATACTTTATTGTTACCTCCCCAAAGGGGCTTTTCAGCAACAATGATTATATTACATTATTTATAATAAATAATAAGGCTAATACTAATTACAATGTTAGCTAATTACTAATTACAATGTTTTAAACTTAACTAAGAAGTATTTACAAAATTATCTAAAAGCTGGCTCCTTAAGGAACGTTCAAAAATTTCAACAGATGGGCTTAACTTAAGAAAAGATTCCAAATTGTTCCAAAGTTTAACAGTCCTGTAATAAAAGAATCTCTGTCTGGAGGCAGTTCTGAAAAGAGGGATATTTAGCTTTTGGCTACTCCGAGTTGTTCGTTCGCTAACTTGCTCACGGGTAATAAATTGGGATGTAAGATATTCAGGGGTGCTACCGGTCATGCATTTGAAGGCCATAATAGCTTGGCAATAGTACAGTTGGTCCTTAACAGGCAACCAAGACAGACTTTTTAAGAGGAGTGTCAATGATCATATTTTTTCTCACCGCTGACGATTCGGCAAGCAAAGTTTTGAACGGCCTGCAGTTTTCTAACATTCTTATTTGTGGTATTTGCCCAAACATTCGAACACTAGTACATTTTGCTGAAGACTAAGGCATGTATTACGGTTAACAACGTATTTTTGTCTAAGCAATGTTTGACCCGGTTAATTTGCGCTAGACGTGCGATACATTCCGGCACTGAGGTCGTTATATGGTTATCAAATCTTAAGTTCGGATCCAAAATCACGCCAAGATCTCTCGCTGATTGCACTGGGGAAATGTCCTTTCCCAACAAAGACAAGTGAAATTCTTGGAGCTTAGAGGTCATCTGTCGGCTCCCGAAAACAATTAATTTTGTCTTGTCTGGATTTAGTAGTAGCCGATTTCCGAAGCACCAGTTGCGCACCTGCAAGAGATCTTCATTCATTTCTTGGACAATCCGTTGGGAGTCGTGTAAATTAAAAGAAACATACAGTTTTGTATCGTCTACATAACACTCTGTAGAGCAGTGCCTTGGAACTTCTGCTAGATCATTTACATATATGCCAAATAATAGGGTGCCTAGGATACTGCCTTGAGGAACGCCACATTCAACTGGAAGAGGATCAGAAACGGAACTATGAATTCGTACAACTTGATATCTATTTGTAAGCTAGCTGTTGAACCATTTTAGCGCGCTGGTTGAGGCGCCGACGCTTTGTATTTTACGTAACAATATTTGGTGGTCAACGCTGTCGAAGGCTTTATTCATATCTAAAAGCACGCAGGCAGTCAATTTCTTATTATCAATTTCTTTGAGAAATGCATCAGTTGTGTGAATTAAAGATGTCTCAGTAGAGAACCATTTTTTTGTTGCCGCTTTGTTTTGTGGTAAGCCTTTCCTTGGTTGTCAAATAGGTGACAAACTGATTATAAGCCACTCTCTCGTAAACCTTTGACAATGCAGGTAGGAGGGAAATCGGTCTGTTATTGTTAGGAAGTTCGTGGTTGCCTTGTTTGGGAATAGGTGTAATTTCGGCAGTTTTCCAGACCTCTGGGAATGTTGAAGCTAAAAGAGAAGCATTGATGATTGACGTAATAAAAAGGAGTGTGATCAACAGGCTGTCCTTAAGGACTCGAGTTGGCACTTTGTCAGTCCCAGGAGCCTTATTAGAAGGCATTGCATTTATGACGTCCGCGACAAGGAAAATATAATGACAAGGAAACGAAAGTGAATTTGAAGACGAATAATTAACAATTAATGAATGAGGCTGAGTATCATATGAAGAATTATGGAGATCAATTAACCACGCTAGTGTAATACGTTAGTTTTGTCATCCTATATTAAAATGAAACTCCCGTTACTGTTTTCACTTTTGGATGATATGTTTATAAGACCTGTATTTTATGTACATATTTACTCAACACACACACAGATGGCGTGTGCAAGTGTTTGAAAATCGCCATAGTTACTTCGCAGCAAGAACAAACAAACTCGTGAAAGTCCCCGTAATGATTCCTCACTGATTCGCGGGCTAGATCACACGAACTAATCTTTATAAATCGCAAAGCTTAGTTCGTATAAATTTCCTCCAAGTTTAAGGTTAAGGTCTCCCACCCTTTTCTCTCTGCACTGTCAGAGTAATGAAGTGTACGCTCTCCGACAAATGGCTCTCAAACTATGCTGACTTCCATTTGCTGTGGAGGCTTTAAATGTCTTGTGAGTGTCGTCCCCCATCCATTTCTCTCTGCAATGTCAGAGTAATGAAGTGTGCGGTCTCCGACACTTGGCTCTCAAACTATGCTGACTATCATTTTCTTTGGTTGCTTTGGAGGCTTTAAATGTTGTATGAGTCTCTTCTCCCATCCTTTTCTCTCTGCACTGTCATGGTAATCCAAAAATGTTTTTGTTCGTAGAGTCTTTGGGAGTCGTGTAGGGTCAGTCCAATCGATGCGAATGATAATCACTGCTGTGTCACTTTTTTCAAAACTCCGCTGTAAGGCATAGTCCAGTTCTTGTTTGCAATATTTACTAGAAGCGTAATTGGCCGACCAGACTGCTAAAACTTTGCGGCTCTTATAGATGCCTTCCACCATGCTTTGTAGAAACGCTTTGCCAAGTTCAAAGTGGATGAAATCCACGCAATATTTCACTTGGTTATGATTAAATAGAGGTAGCAGCTCCTTGTCCACCCAGGAGAAGTCTTTTTTTCAATATGTGAGGAATACATCATACTCGAAGTCTCCTGCGTCCAGATCTGGGGGAGATTTAACTAGGAGGCGGGAAAAAAAAGCTTAAGTATTGGAACAAGAAGAAAAGACTCTAGCTAGGGTTGATTCCGAAGAGGTTTTTCTTCTACAGAGGGGTGCAAAAAGGACAGCTAAGGTCTGGTAACGGCTAAACGCTTGGTTCACCTGAACAGTGCTCAGGTATCGACATAAAATGGTGTTCTGCTCAGGCCTTGAGTACCCGATAAGTAATTCTCTACACATATACTCCATATCTCCTTATCAGACGCCTTTTTGAAATGTGGGATTAATAGGGAAAAACAAAGAATTGATTGCTCAGGGGCTAAAATAAAAACAAAATACAGTGTGCTCACAGTGCCCGAGTAAAAAGACTCGGGCATAAAAGTGGAACGCATCATCTAACATCTGATGTATTTCATTATTGACTTACTTGATTTTGGAGGTCTAGGTCGTGGCCATCTGCATAGCTTCATAGAAACTATTATGGTCGTCACCAATCCAACAAAGAGACCCAGACCAATGAACAGTGTAGTTCCAAGCAAATCTGCTTTCCCCTGGGGCATTTCAGTAGGTTGCTGAATACGGAAACCTGTTTTGGAACCTGGTCTCCGCTTGACGTTAACACTAACGTTTTTCAGGTGCAAGCCAAGTGAGGTGTTAAGAGCACATTTATACTCGCCGCTGTCGTTCAGTCCAATGTTAAAAATAGTCAATCCAATCTTCATTCTCTTTACGCTCCGTTCTGATTGTTCCAACCAAGGGGAAGTGTTTTTTTCTTTATACTTGTCGTTATTGTTTATCCGGCTGCCGTTAAAAATCCAAAACGTGTCGACAAAAAACGCTTCCGGGTACACTGCATTGCAACTTAGCGTTATATTTTCGCCGTCAACAGCGTCTATATTCGATTTGGTTTGCACTAGAGTTGGACCTTCCAAGTCTTTCACTGTCACGGTTATATTCTGTGTTTTTATAACGCCAGTGGAATTAGCACCGCACGTGTATACGCCAGTCTGTGATAGCATGGTATTCTTTAGTACCAACGTTGAGATGTTTGTGACCGTGTTACTTAAATCATGCTCGTCTCCTGTATGAAATGGTGTAGCTTCAATCATTTTGCCGTTGAAAAGCCAGAATGTCCAAACGTCCATTGCTTTTGAGCACATTACTTCACATTGCAGTGGCACAGTGCGCCCTTCTTCAATGATGACATTTGGTGGCGATGCTGAGAGGTTCAGTACTGTAAGAAAGTAGAAAGAATTTAGGTTTCTGAGAAACTGCCCACCTACCCCTCCCCTAAGCCATCATCTTGTCCTTAGTGAGAAGGAAGTATTAATGTTAGCTTAGGGGAGGGGTAGAGCTCTCTAACAACTTCACTGAATAAACAAAGAGGATTTTGAACGTTATTACCTTGGGCCGGGTTTTTCAAAGCTGGGTTACGAGAACGCAGGGTTAGTGCAAAATTTGAATTCAGATATGAAAGCTTAAAAAGTAAATTTAGTTTAATTCTTTTTGTCAACAAGTTGATGATTGGATGCTCTTAAAAATAACAGAGAAAATTATCCGAGAAAATGCTTTTGAACCCCAAAGAAAAAGAAACCCGGGTTAAATTTAACCCTGGGTTAAGTGTTAGTCGGCCTTTGAACAACTGGGCCCACCTGGGTATCAGATACTTTAATACACGGTTTTATGTTTCTGATCCCGGTCAAGTCTTAATTGAACATTCATCGGCCTCTCTTTGGATAACGTTTATTTTAAAAAACTGTCTTCAAACTCTTGCAAACGACCACTTTAAACATAGTCTAGTCTCAAGAGGTTGCTCTTCTACCAAAAACAAAGAACTAATACACTTTACATTTACACAAAATTTGCTCTTACTTATAAATTTAGCGAAGGTAAAAAAGTTATACTTACTGCTTTCATATAAACGCAGCTTTATTGAAGCTTCGGCTTTGTCGATTTTGGGAAAGTTATGAACTTGGGCAATGCAACGGTAGTCACCTACATCTTTCTCTGATACATTTAAGATATCTAGAGAATACTTTGCCTGTTTTTTTGCACGCCAGATTAGTTTGATATTCCTGTTTTCTTTATTCTCTACTATCTCGTTGTTAAACTTCCACATAAAATGGGTATCGAGTGGTTGTACATTACTTCCTTTGCAAACCAATGTAACGTGGGAGCCTCTCACTGCGGTGACTGTACTTTTGAGTGAATATATTACTGGGAAGGTACTGGCATCTGTGGAGAGGAATTCAGCAATCAAAAACCAGAATGATAAGCGTCAATGTATTCAGTATGGCGCGAAATTAGAGAATAAAATGCCTGTCTTTCTGGACGCCAGACTATTTTGATATTCCTGTATCCGTTTTGTTTCATCTTGTGGGTGTTAAACGTCCACTTTAAGGTGGTATCGAGTGGCTCTACAGTACTTCCGTTGCAAACCAATTTGACGCCTCTCTCTGCTACGACCGTGCTATGGAGTGTTAGCATCACTGGGCCAATATTGGCATGTCTGGAGGGGAACGCTGAGCAGTTGACCATTCAAACCCCGCTAAAAAAAAACTCAAGGAAAATAGATAAAATTGGCGATTCTCTGAAAAGAAATTCAGTAAAGCACAGGCGGAGTCCAATTAGAGAAGAAACAAATACTGGAAATGTAGCAATGAAGAAACCTGTTGTGAGCGTATTGGACAGGGTCCCTGTGTTTGGCGTGTTGTATGGGTATCCTGAGATTTTGAGCTCGACGACATTCACGTGCATGCGTTCTACTTCTCATGAATCCTTGTTGTTACAGGAACATTTTTTGGTTGGGTTGGTGTAATTTTTCTTGTAGTTAACTTTTGTCCTGCTAGGTTTCAAACTTAGTTTCCTGTTTTTGGTTTGTTGATGCTTGATAATTAGTTTGAAACAAAGGGAAATAAAATTCAAGCCAAGGATAAAATTTAACCAAACAATTATTTTCAACAACACCGAGGTGCCTCTTCCATGACCTTTGTCAGAAAACTTCTGTGAAAAACGGTTTTGTATTGTTCAAGCTACACAGACTTAGATCCTCATATGTTTCTTACTTGTGGATACGCGTAGCTTAGAAGGCTAGTATTGCGGACACTTCGACATGCAAATCTATCACTCGTTCACTGAGGCATATACGCACTTCCGCCCCGAACTCGTGAGAAACCGATATCAACATGACAACGGTCGCAGATCGATCGTTTCCGTAGGCGAGATTTTTCAAACCAGTGCATGCTTTGCTGTCCGTTGACACTGTTCCGTCATGTAAGGCACCTGATTGCCACGAACCATTGTTTGGTTAATTGGTGCGTGTTCATTAAAACACCTAAAAAAATGTTCGGAACCATAAACCTCATGATTAAGTTAATCAAAATCAAATGACGCGAAAAGGCAAAATTTGCATATCACGCACAAAGTTCTCCCAGCTAAAATTTTTCAGACTACGGAAAGAAATCGTCGAGATCAAAAAGTTTCTTCACTTTCCTCTTGAAAACGCTCCAATACGTTGTTCTATTTTCGAAACTGTAATCTATATCTTTTAGGGATATTAAAAGTATTTCATTTATGAGGAAGTATGCTTTGATCTTTGTTTACTACGTAATTCTTGAACTCGAAAATTTATTTTCATGCAATAGGAATAATGGAAATGTTCGCGTTTGAATTATGGAATAACGGGAATTTTCGAGTTGGATAATGAAATAATGCCCTTTTAGTTGGAATAGGGCAACATTTCGAGATGCAATTACGGAATAATAGACACCTCATTACGCCTTTTCATTCCCCGAATTCTCTAGTTTATATTCTTGCCACTTCTGGCTCCTACCCGGCTTCTTACCTGTAGTCCATAGCACAGCTGCAAGCAGCAAATTTACAAAGAGGAAATGAGTCATTTTGTCACAAGCCATTGTCTTTAAATCGAGGATATCTGTTTCAAAATTCTTCAGTGTGTCGTGCTCTGCAGAAGTTGATTTTTTCCTGTTCGATCTGCAGTTACGCTTTCACTTTCACCACATTTGAATATTTTTATAGACTAGATGACGATCGAGTCGAGGGGAGGTTGGGAAAGAGCATTTAGTTTATGTCATTTCTTTGAGAGTGTGTACCCAAATTATTTCTTTCTTTTCTGTTTCTTTTTAGCAGATGTAATCAAACTAAATTTGCCTTTGTACCATGCATCAGATGAAAAGTCATAGAAATAACATAATTAAGGGGTTTACCTAAAATCCGGGATCCGCGGGGAGGAAAAACCATATCGAACGCCGAATGATTCTGAGGGCCCGGTTTCTGAAAGGCCGATTAGCGCTAATCCAGGATTAAAATTTTGTTCCGTTTTTTTTTTTTTAAATTTTTCCTTCCTATGTATTGCTTAGAGTAAGTTTTGGTGTAATTATTACTGTATCTCAGAGTAAAGGCACAACAGTCTCTTGCCAGCTCGTGTGGCCTGTTATTAGACAAGAAAATCTTGGCATAATCCTGGGTTAAACTTAACGGCATCTTTCGAGGAACCGGGCCCAAGTTTACTGATTAGGGGTAGAAAACTGAGTGTGAGTTTGTGTAGTAATAATTACCCTAAATGGAACCTGTTTCACTCAGTTTCCTAACCCTAATCACTACATTTACATTTACATATATCATCTTGCAATAACTATAACAGACATATTCGCAAGCTCCTAACTAATAACTAAGGTGCCACTACTAGGAAATATAAAAATAAAAATACAACAAATCGAAAGGGGTAAACATCATACTAAAAAAAATGTCGTCAGAGTCGGGGTGGGCTTTTTCCGGATCCCGGGTCTGAGACAAACCCTGTACAAGCAGTAGTGGAAAAGCAAGAAAATTGATTTAGTTCAGGCTAAAGCATAGAGTTAAATATTTCGCGGTTGGAGAGAGATAGGAGGAGTAGTAACGCAAGAAAGAATCATTTGACTAGACCACAGCCTTATTTAAATATTTAAAAATGACTGTGAGGCTGACCTACCTCGATTAGTTTAGCTGCCCGTAGGTCAGTCGGATTGATTGTAAACAATTTGTTATATATACTAAATAACCTTGACACTTGAAACTTTAAAGGACTCGTAATGGTGACAGTTAATGGGGAACATAGCAGACATAGTATCGAATAGTATGAAATTGCGTTTTAAGGTTTAGTCTGCGAAATATCCGTTTCTCCTCGCTCTTCACCGCTGAACGGATGTTTTTGCAGGCTATTTAAGGTTAGGATCCCGCATCGTACCGTGTGGCACATTTATTTGCGGTTCTCTTCGCTTAAAAAAAAGCAAAAAATCAAAAGTATTATAGTCAAACCCCCCTTTACTGACACCCGATTAACACGGACACCTCATTATTACGGACAGTTCGCTTTGCCCCTGGGGAAAAAAACCCTTACATTTTATCTAATTTCAACCCGCTTAATACGGACACCCCGTCAATAAGGACACTCTCCCCTCAGTGTCCGTATCAACGGGGTTTGACTGTACATACATACATACTTTATTGTTACCTCCCCAAAGGCGCTTTTCAGCAACAATGATTATATTACATTATTTATAATAAACAATAAGGCTAATACTAATTACAATGTTAGCTAATTACTAATTACAATGTTTTAAACTTAACTATAAGAAGTATTTACAAAACTATCTAAAAGCTGACTCCTTAAGGAACGTTTAAAAATTTCAACAGATGGGCTTAACTTAAGAAAAGATTCCAAATTGTTCCAAAGTTTAACAGTCTTATAATAAAAGGTTCTCTGTCCGGAGGCAGTTCTGAAAAGAGGGATGTTTAGCTGTTAGCTACTCCGAGTTGTTCGTTCGCTAACTTGCTCAAGGGTAATAAATGTACGATATTCAGGGGCTTGACCGGTCATGCATTTGAAGGCCATAATAGTTTGGCGATAGTACAGTTGTTCCTTAACAGGCAAACAAGACAGACTTTTTAAGAGGGGTGTTACATGATCATTTTTTTTTCGCACCGCTGACGATTCGGCAAGCAAAGTTTTGAACGGCCTGCAGTTTTCTAACATTCTTATTTGTAGTATTTGTCCAAACATTCGAACAGTAGTACATTTTGCTGAAGACTAAGGCACGTATTACGGTTAACAACGTATTTTTGTCTAAGCAATGTTTGACCCGGTTAATTTGCGCTATACGGCTATACGTGCGATACATTCCGACACTGAGGTCGTTATATGGTTATCAAATCTTAAGTTCGGATCCAAAATCACGCCAAGATCTCTCGCTGATTGCACTGGGGAAATGTCCTTTCCCAACAAAGACAAGTGAAATTCGTGGAGCTTAGAGGTCATCTGCAGGCTCCCGAAAACAATTAATTTTGTCTTGTCTGGATTTAGTAGTAGCCGATTTCCGAAGCACCAGTTGCGCACCTGCAGGAGATCTTCATTCATTTCTTGGAAAATCCGTTGGGAGTCGTGTAAATTAAAAGAAACAAACAGTTTTGTATCGTCTACATAACATTCTGTAGAGCAATGCCTTGGAACTTCTGGTAGGTCATTTACATATATGCTAAATAATAGGGTGCCTAGGATACTGCCTTGAGGAACGCCACATTCAACTGGGAGAGGATCAGAAACGGAACTATGAATTCGTATTAGTTGAAATCTACTTGAAAGCTAGCTGTTAAACCATTTTAGCGCGCTGGTTGAGGCGCCGACGCTTTGCATTTTACGTAACAATATTTGATGGTCAACGCTGTCGAAGGCTTTACTTATACCTAAAAGCACGCAGGCAGTCAATTTCTTATCATCAATTCCTTTGAGAAATGTATCAGTTGTGTGAATTAAAGATGTCTCAGTAGAGAACCATTTTTTGTTGCCGCTTTGTTTTGTGGTAAGCCTTTCCTTGGTTGTCAAATAGGTGACAAACTGATTATAAGCCACTCTCTCGTAAACCTTTGACAATGCAGGTAGGAGGGAAATCGGTCTGTTATTGTTAGGAAGTTCGTGGTTGCCTTGTTTGGGAATAGGTGTAATTTCGGCAGTTTTCCAGACCTCTGGGAATGTTGAAGCTAAAAGAGAAGCATTGATGATTGACGTAATAAAAAGGAGTGTGATCAACAGGCTGTCCTTAAGGACTCGAGTTGGCACCTTGTCAATCCCAGGAGCCTTACTAGAAGGCATTGCATTTATGACGTCCGCGACAAGGAAAATGTAATCACAAGGAAACGAAAGTGAATTTGAAGACGAATAATTAACAATTAATGAATGAGGCTGAGTATCATATGAAGAATTATGGAGATCAATTAACCACGCTAGTGTAATACGTTAGTTTTGTCATCCTATATTAAAATGAAACTCCCGTTACTGTTTTCACTTTTGGATGATATGTTTATAAGACCTGTATTTTATGTACATATTTACTCAACACACACACAGATGGCGTGTGCAAGTGTTTGAAAATCGCCATAGTTACTTCGCAGCAAGAACAAACAAACTCGTGAAAGTCCCCGTAATGATTCCTCACTGATTCGCGGGCTAGATCACACAAACTAATCTTTATAAATCGCAAAGCTTAGTTTTATAAATTTCCTCCAAGTTTAAGGTTAAGGTCTCCCACCCTTTTCTCTCTGCACTGTCAGAGTAATGAAGTGCACGCTTTCCGACAGATGGCTCTCAAACTATGCTGACTACCATTTGCTGTGGAGGCTTTAAATGTCATGTGAGTGTCGTCCCCCATCCATTTCTCTCTGCAATGTCAGAGTAATGAAGTGTGCGGCCTCCGACACTTGGCTCTCAAACTATGCTGACTATCATTTTCTTTGGTTGCTTTGGAGGCTTTAAATGTTGTATGAGTCTCTTCTCCCATCCTTTTCTCTCTGCACTGTCATGGTAATCCAAAAATGTCTTTGTTCGTAGAGTCTTTGGGAGTCGTGTAGGGTCAGTCCAATCGATGCGAATGATAATCACTGCTGTGTCACTTTTTTCAAAACTCCGCTGTAAGGCATAGTCCAGTTCTTGTTTGCAATATTTACTAGAAGCGTAATTGGCCGACCAGACTGCTAAAACTTTGCGACTCTTATAGATGCCTTCCACCATGCTTTGTAGAAACGCTTTGCCAAGTTCAAAGTGGATGAAATCCACGCAATATTTCACTTGGTTATGATTAAATAGAGGCAGCAGCTCCTTGTCCACCCAGGAGAAGTCTTTTCTGCAATATGTGAGGAATACATCATACTCGAAGTCTCCTGCGTCCAGATCTGGGGGAGATTTAACTAGGAGGCAAGAAAAAAAAAACGATGAGTATTGGAACAAGAAGAAAAGACGCTAGCTAGCGTTGATTCCGAAGGGGTTTTTCTTCCACAGAGGGGTTGCAAAAAGGACAGCTGAGGTCTGGTAATTGCTAAACGCTTGGTTCACCTAAACAGTGCTCTGGTATCGACACAAAATGGTGTTCTGCTCAGGCCTTGAGTACCCGATAAGTAATTCTCTACACATATGCTCCATATCTCCTTATCAGACGCCTTTTTTGAAATGTGAGATTAACAGGGAAAAACAAAGAATTGATTGCTCAGGGGCTAAAATAAAAACAAAACACAGTGTGCTCACAGTGCCCGAGTAAAAAGACTCGGGCATAAAAGTGGAACACATCATCTAACATCTGATGTATTTCATTATTGACTTACTTGATTTTGGAGGTCTAGTTCTTGGCCATCTCCATAGCTTCATAGAAACTATTATGGTCGTCACCAATCCAACAAAGAGACCGAGACCAATGAACAGTGTAGTTCCAAGCAAATCTGCTTTCCCTTGGGGCATTTCAGTAGGTTGCTGAATATGGAAACTTGGTTGGGAGCCTGTTTTCCGCGTGACCTTAACACTAACGTTTTTCAGGTGTAAGCCAAGTGAGGTGTTAAGAGCACATTTATACTCGCCGCTGTCGTTCAGTCCAACGTTATAAATAGTCAATCCAATCTTCATTCTTTTTACGCTCCGTTCTGATTGTTCCAACCAAGGGGAAGT